GGCAATGGAATACTACTCAGCAGAGAAAAACAATGACAGCATGAAATTGCAGGCAAATGGGTGGAACTAGAAAATATCATCCTGAGTGAGGTAACCCAAACCCAGAAGGACAAACATGGTATGTACTTACTCATAAGTGGATACTAGATATAAAGCAAAGAACAATCAGACTGCAACCCACAGAACCAAGGAGGCTATATAGCAGGGGGGGACCCTAGGATGACTGTGGCTTATAATAAGTTTTGGTTCTAGTCAATTACTGGGCAATCCTCAATGAAACATTTCATTATTAGGATAGGAATATATACTGTATCAAGCTGATAATAGAAAAATAAATAAATAAATGAAAATGAAAAAAATAAAATTAGGTTGCTGTCAATACATAGATTTTGTTTCATGAAGGGGGGGCAGGTCTTATATTGTGTTCCATTGGCCTACATGTCTGTTTTTTGTTGTTGTTGGTTTTCTGTTTGTTTTGCCAGTACCATATAGTTTTTGATACTACCGCTTTATAGTATATTTTCAAATTAGGTATCTGCAACACTGTTCATTTTGTTTAGGATTATTTTGGTGATCTGCTGTCTTTTGGGTTTTTATTTGAATTTTAGGATTAATTTTTCTGGTTCAATGAAGACAATAGTTAAAATTTTTATAAGGATTACATAGGATTTGTGGATAACTTTTGTTGTATAGTTATTTTCATGATATTAATTCTGCCAATCTATCAGCAGGGGAGGTATTTCATCTTCTAATGTCTTCTTCATTGTTTTTCTTTAATGTAATTTTGTTTTCATTGTAGAGGCATTTCATTTCCTTCATTAGATTTCTCCCTGGTGTTCTATTTTCAATTTCTGAAATAATAGCTTTTGTTTTAATTATAATATATTATATCATTTCCCCCTACTTTCCTTCTTCCAGCCCATCTTATGCATCCCCTTGTTCTCTCTCTCATATATATGTTGCTCAGGCCTTGTTTAAGTAGCCATGTTGATGAGACTTCATGGGTGTAAAGGCAATATCTGTTCTCTGATTTCTTCAGTGGAAGCTTCGTTATCAGTATTTAAAAGCCATTGATTTTATGTATTGACTCAGTATCTTGTTGCTTTGTTGAAAATACATCTAGGAGTCCTGTGAAATCCATAAGGGCTTTGAGCAATAGTGCCACATCCCCTTCAGAAGAGAACACTTTGACTTCTTCCTTGCCTGAGTATGTACCTTTAAGTTTTTCCCTTCAACTCTTTGCTCTAGCTAAAACTTCAAGCTCTGTGTTGAATAAGCCTGGAGAGTGGGCACTTTTGCTTAGATGTTAGAATAAATCCTTTCCTTTCGTTTTCCAATTCAGTACATCATTGGCTACATGTCTGTCATGTAAAATTATTATGCTGTGGCGTGTTCCTTCTATTCTTACTTCTTTTAGGCCTCTTTTCATGAAAGGTTATTGAACTTTGCCAACAGCCTTTTCTCTACCTATTAAGATAATTATATGATTTCTTTTCTTGAGTCTATTTATGCGTTATATTACATTTATTTATTTGCATATGATGAATCGTCTTGGCAACCCTGGAATGAAATAAACCCGGTCATGGCATATTATTTTCTGAATATATTCTTGTGCTGTGTTCTCCACAGCTGGGTCCTGGAACCTTGACAAGGTCTGGTGAGGGAGAGAAGAAAATACAGACACATGGAGAAAAGCTGAAGTCAGGTGGGCTGTGTGTGCTCAGAAGGACCTCACCTACCATGTATAACCTGTAACTTCAGTGTGTTTATCACACACAGCACAAGGGGAGGGGTTAGTTAGTCTCAATACAAGATCTCTGAGGGGAGCAGTCTCAGGCTGTAAACTTTTGTGAGGAAGAAACTGCAGCTGCTAGTTTTGGTACACACTGGTCAATTATTCACACTTGGACTCGGACCAGAAGAAAAAGACTTTGCCAGTTCCAAGTCTAACACATATAGGGAAAGGATTTGACAATTTCCTATGGGTCCGGGTCCTTAATTTTTGTCATGGCTGTGCTCACATCAACTATACACACACACACACACACACACACACACACACACACACACACACACACACACACACATCAGGATTTCATTTTCAGGCTTCTTCCACTCCCTACCTTCTAAAATTCACTTTGCAAGATTTTTGTTGTTGTTGACAAATTTTCATCTATGTTTATCTGAGAAATTGGTGTATAGTTTTCTTATCTTGTGTGCTTATGTGGTTTTGATAGCAGAGCAATGCTGGCATGGTAGACTATGACTGGTACTATTCCTCCAGTATCTTACAGAACCATTGGAAGGGGACAGGTGACCGATCTTCAGAGGGTTGACAGACAGACAGCCTACCAGTTTCCAGGATGTTCTTCCTTGCAGATTTTTTTTTTGAATGAAAAGAAAAAGAAATAAAAAGGAAAGGAAAGGACATGACTGCTCCTAGGAATGGTGGCAGAGAAAGTTTATCGTAGATAAAAGGGGAAGCATAGGTAGAGGCAGGAGTATCTAGGAGAGTCCAGAGTGGACACCACCAGGCTGAGCTGGACCTTGTGAGGAGAGGAGGAGGGGAAGGGAGAAGGGAGAGGAGTCAGGTGCAACAGGGAGGAAGCCCCAAAAGGGCGGGTAACCAAAATGTCTGAGTTATATAGGGAAGAGCCTCTGGAGGAAGTGCAGGCCAGCCCCTGGCTGGAGAGTTCCGGGTAGAAGGCTGGATATGCATGCCACACCCAGTCACAGATAGGGACTGAGGGATGCTGGGGGAACTTGGCAGCTGGGTCCAGCTTTGATATGTTAAAAAAGCATGTCTGTTGTTTGTCCTGGGTTTTAAACTTAACACATTTTCTTACTATTTCAATCTCTTGTTATGGATCTGATTAAGTTGTTTCTATCTTCTTTATTTAAGTTTTGTAGGTAATACATGTCTATGAATCCATTTATTCTAAAT